TTCATATATACATTCATATAAAATTCCCTAGCTCTGCCTATTGAAGGCTTACAAATAATGGTCAATCTGGTATCAGTGATACTCCTGGTACCTAGAATGTGGTATCTAAGCATTATTTCCACTAAAAGGAATGAGATCTCCTGGAGAAATGGCTGATTCCAGGTCTGGAGCAGTAATTGTTCAAGATAAACTTGCAAAGGCTGTTGTACTAGAAAGAAAAGAGGCTACTAAAGAGCACTACTGTCATGCCAAATACCCGGACTCTGGACTCAGAAGTGAATTTGAGTAAGTTCCTATTGAATAAAGATGAGACAACATGAGTATCAATTAAGATAAAGCTGCAATGGGTTGACACATATAAAATATAGTTAAATCCATAAATTCATATTGATACAAAAATAACTCAATGGTTTTGCAAAGTATGGACTTCATTTGTATCTCAATTCAAACTATTTTTAATATGTATAAGATGAAAAAAGGTAAATATTAACATTATGTTTCATGAAATTAAAAAATTATTGTTAATTTATTCCACATGTGATAATGGTATTGTGGTTATATTGATTTAAGAGTCTTTATCTACTGGAATATTTAAATATGAAATAGTCTAATTTCTAGGATTTACTTCAAAATAATCTGAGTAGTGTGGGAGTATAAGTAAAATAAGGTTAGTCATATATTGATAATGGTAGAAGCAGGATAGTGGTTTTAAGGGGGCTCATTTTAATATGATCTCTACTTTTATATTACATGTGTTTAAGTCTTCCACTATAAAAATCTTTTCTTAAAAAAAGCTAAATGGGTCCTAGCTGGTGTGGCTTAGGGTATTGAGTGCCATCCTGTGAACCAAAAGGTCACTGGTTCAATTCCCAGTCAGGGTACTTGCCTGGGTTGTGGGCCACATCCCCATTTGGGGGCACTTGAGAGGTGACCAAACACCAAAGCTTCTTTTTTCTTTTAATTTTTAAATATATTTTAAGTTCTTTAGCTTCTACATTTCCCATACTGTTATCTTTTTTTGAAATTTATTTTTTAATATATTTTACTGATTATACTATTACAGTTGTCCTATTCCCCCCCTTTATTCCCCTGTGCCCTGAACATTGCCCCCCCAACCCACATTCCCCGCTTTAGTTCATGTCCATGGGTCGTACATGTAAGTTCTTTGGCTTCTACATTTCCTATACTATTCTTAACCTCCCGCAATCTATTTTGTACCTACAATTTATGCTTATTTCCTGTACCTTTTCTCCCATTCTCCCTCCTCCCACTCCCTGCTGATAACCTTCCATGTGATGTCTATTTCTCTGAATCTGTCCCTATTTTAGTTGTTTGCCTTGTTCATTTTTTTTTAGGTTCCATTGTTGATAATTGTGAGTTTGTTGTCATTTCACTGTTTGTATTTTTGATCTTCTTGTTTTTCTTAGATAACATTTCATATAATAATGGCTTGGTAATGATGAATTCCTTTAACTTGACCTTATCTGGAAAGCACTTTATCTGCCCTTCCATTCTAAATGATAGCTTTGCTAGATAGAGTAATCTTGGATGTAGGTCCTTGAGTTTCATGATTTTAAATACTTCTTTCCAGTTTTTTTCTTGTCTGCAAGGTTTCTTTTGAGAAATCATCTGACAGTTTTATGGGAACTTTTTTGTAGGTAACTGTGTCCTTTTCTCTTTCTGCTTTTAAGATTCTTTCCTTATCTTTAATTGTAGATAACTTAATTATGATGTATCTTGGTGTGTGCTTCCTTGGGTCCAACTTCTTTGGGACTCTGAGCTTCCTGAACTTGCACATCTATTTCCTTCACCGTATTGGGGAAGTTCTCCATTATTTTTTCACATAAATTTTCAATTTCTTGGTTTTCCTCTTCTCCTTCTGGTGCCCCTATGATTCACATATTGGAATGATTAGGTTGTCTTGGAGGTTCCTAAGGCTCTCCTCATTTTTTTGAATTCTTATTTCTTTGTTCTGTTCTGGTCAAATGTTTATTTCTTCCTTCTGGTCCACTTCATTGATTTGAGTCCCAGTTTCCTTCCCTTCACTGTTGATTCCCTGTACATTTTCCTTTATTTCACTTTTCATAGCCTGTCCTTCCCCCTTTATTTTGCAACCATACTCAACCATTTCTGTGGTCATCCTGATTACCAGTGTTTTGAATTCTGATAGGTTGGCTCAACATCAGCCTATGACTCAACATCTGATAGGTTAGCTATCTCTTTATCACTTAGTTTTATTTTTTTTCTGGAGCTTTGATCTCTTCTTTCATTTGGGCCAAATTTTTTTGTCTTCACTTGCCTGTTACATTGTAAGGGGCGGAGCCTTATGTATATGCCAGGGCAGGACAACTCACTTCACTGCACCGTGGCACTGTATGTGGGAGGGGTCCAAGAGGGAACAGTGTGGCTTGCTCAGCTCTCTGCTGGCTTTCAGTTACTTCCTCTGCTACTCACAAGCAAATTGGGCCCTTCTGGGGCTGATTCCCAGGTAGGTGGGTTTGTGCACATCCTAGGACCCTATGGGTCTCTCCAATGAACTCAAACTAGAAAGTTTTTGCATCGCAAAGGAAATCAACAACAAAAAAAGACAACTCATAGAATGGGAGAACATATTCACCAATACATCTGATAAAGAGTTAACATGCAAAATTCATAAAGAATAAAACTCAACACCAAAAGATCCCCTCAAACAATCCAATTAAAAAATGGACCTGAATAGACACTTATTCAAAGAGGACATAAAGATGGCCAATAGGCATATGAAAAGATGTTCAGTGTCACTATTCATCAGAGAAATGCAAATTAAAACCACAGTGAGCTATCATCTCACACCTGTCAGAATGGATATCACCAATAAATCAACAAACAACAAGCACTGGTGAGGATGTTGAGAAAGGGGAATCTTTTTGCACTGTTGGTAAGAATGCATGTTGGTACAGCCACTGTGGAAATCAGTATGGAGATACCTTAAAAAATTAAAAATGGATCTGCCTTTTGACTCAGCAATCCTATTTCTGGGAATATGTCTGAAGGAACCCCAAAACACTCATTCAAAAGAACATAAGCCACCCCTATGTTCATTGCAGCATTATTTACAATCACCAAGATATAGAAGCAGCCAAGTGTCCATCAGAAGATGAGTGTATAAAACAACTATAGGACATTTACACAATGGAATACTACTCGGCCATAAAAAAGAAGAAAATTTTACCCTTTGCAATAATATGGATGAACTTGGAGAATATTATGCTATGTGAAATAAGGCAGTCAGAGAAAGATAAATGTTACATGATTCCACTCATATGGAATCTAATGAACTGAAGTAACGAGGAAAACAGGGACAGACTCATAGATGGAGGGCAGGATGACGGTTGGTTGGGGAGGAGTTAGGAGGTAGAAGGATTGAGCAAAAAAGGAAAAGGACTCACAGACATGGACAACAGTGGTGATTGCTGAGGGAGAGGAGTATAAGGGGTATAAATGGCAATGAGGAAAAATACAATAAAGATTAAATCCAAAAATAAATAAATTTGAGAAAGAAGAAACTATGAGAATTAAATGAAATGGGGTGGTGAACACACAATACAGTGTACAGATATGTGTTGTGGAATTGTGCACCTGAAACCTGTATATAATTTTGTTAACTAGTGTCTCCTCAATGAATTCAATAAAAAGGAGAATTAAATAAGACATAAAAATCATAGATCATAAGGTAAAAGCTGAATTTTAAAAAATATTTATTGATTGAATGATTAACTTTAGAGACAGAAGGGAAGGGAGAGGAAGACAGAGAGAAAGAGGAAGAGAAGGAAGGATCAATTTGTTGCTCCACTTACTCATGCACTCATTGGTTGATTCTCCTATGTGCTCTGACTGGGGATTGAAATGGCAACCTTGCTTTACTGAACAATGCTCTGGCCAACTGAGCCACTCAGCCAGGGCTGAATAAATTTTTTTTACATGAACATTTTAAAATTTCATGTAAAGAAAGTAAATATAAGCAAGGGTTAAAGACAGGAGAAAGAGAGAAGATATTTTTAGTGTATAGAACCATCAAAGATTTTTAAAAACGCCTGTAAGTGACTATGATAAAGCAACAATGCAACAGAAAAATGAATAAAAGATATGAATTGCCATTTCACAGAAAATGCAAATGGTCAATAAATGGGTGAAAAGATGCTCAGTCTCATTAGTAATTACATAAGTACAAATTGTAAATAATGATAGTCCATCTTGTCTCTGCCTCCACCCAGGTAATGCCTCCACACAGGTAACCACTCAGCAGTTAAATGTATACAGGTATGTTTTTTAAAAGATTTTATTTATTTATTTCTAGAAAGAGGGGAAGGGAGAGAGAAAGAGTGAGAGAAACATGAATGTGCAAGAGAAACATTGATGTGGGGAGAAACATTATAGACATCCTGTCCAGGACTGAAACCACAGCCCAGGCATGTGCCCTGACTGGGACTCGAACTGGCAACCTTTCACTTTGCAGGACGATGCCCAACCAACTGAAGAACACTGTCAGGGCTAGGTTTTCTTCTTTTTCCATAAATATACTAACATATGTTACTATAAATAAAGATATATTGAATTGATAAATCAAGGAATAGCTGAGTAAGAATTAGACAGTAGGTCATGGATGAGTTATGTTAAAGAGAATAAGGTGGGCTTTTCTAGGAAATTATGGAGAAATCTGGGATTTCAAAAGCTTATTCCTGATTTCCTCATAACTAAATTTTTCCATCTGCAAACTGGTATTTTTAGGTAAAGTGAATTATCAAAATGATGAGTGATCAAATGGTAAAATTGTACTGCTATTTTTTTGCTGTGTAGGTTCTATCCATCTCTTGTTCTGGGGCTCGTTAAAGCTTAGTGCACCTACTTTATCTCCACAACTGTAGAGAGAGGGCAGGAGGCAGCTGATCTAGTAAGATTTTAAATGAAACTGAAATGAAAGTTCACTTCCTCTTCGTGGATACCTCATGTGACAAGTTCCAATTTTCTTCAAGTCAAATTTAGCTGAAGTCTCTTCACTGCCTTTCATACGATTGGAGACAGCCCACCTTCAAGCGTTCTTAGCATGGGAGCAGCTGCTGGTTCCATTATGTACGTACTTTATGGGTTTTTTCCTCCCATTTCGTCTTTAAACCCTTTGTGTTTTTAGCTTGCTTTGCCTGCCAGGTTTTAAATCTTTGGTTTCAGGAAGTAAACTAAAAAAATCATGTCGCTCAGTTTGCCTCTTCTGTTTTTTGACAAAACGTAATTTATTTTTGAAAAGTTAATGTGTGTTTGGACATCTGAGCCTGAGGCTAAAACACAGCTCTCTTTGGCATATAATTTGAAGATTTGCATGTTTATAATTCCAGTCATTTTGAATTAAAAAGAAATGGAAGAGAAAGTAGAATCCAGTTTGAGAAAGAGCTAGTTACTGAATTTCCATTAAAGTCTTTTTGTAAGTGGTGTTTTTAAAAGTAGTTAATTGCTTCCTTTGAAATAGATAATCTGATTGGTGGGAGGAAAAGTTAAAAAAACAAAATGACGCTAGGATGTAAATACATGGAAGTTGTCTTTTAACCACCTCTAAGTGTTATGGATAAATCAGCCAGTTAAGGAGAACTTATGAAGCTAAATGATTTTCCCAAGGTTTGCTTTCCTCTTAAGGAGGAAGGAGGATGTCCCTTGATTAGATTTGTTTGCAAATCCAGGAAAGTCCCTGCTTCGTATAATAATTCCCAACCTTGGATGTAAATTTTGTTTACCAGATATCAGGAAATTTCCGAAAACCACTTTTTAAAGTGCTACTAATATTAGAAGTGGTATTTCAGACATAAATCTGAAGTTATTCCCTGTGTCTATACAGGGTGGGGCAAAAGTAGGTTTCCTACAGAGTACGAGGAACACAGTTTCTTCTTGTATTATTACTTATTAATTATTGTATTATTTTCTATACCAACAACTGTAAACCTACTTTTGTTATGAAAACCATGATCAATATATGCAGCTAACAGCTACTCTTTCTATGTGACCTTCTCCTTAGCAGAATGAAATGGCTGGTTTTGGTGCTCCTGGGGTGCTCCTCCTCAATGGCACAGCTGCACAAAGATCCCACACTGGACCATCACTGGGACCTCTGGAAGAAAACCTATGGCAAACAATACAAGGAAAAGGTAGATGGGATTGCCGTTTGAGTGATTTGCTTTTACTCTAGTACTCAGTGCGTTCTCCCTCTTACATTGCAAGTGGTGTTTTCAATAAATGTTATGCTCAGATTTCTTGCCAGATTCTGTTATTGGTGCTAGAGATACAGTAGGAAACAAAACAAGGTTCCTGTTTTTATGAAGCTTATATCTGAATAAGGGAAACAGGAAATAAGTCACTAATTAAGCAGGTATGTAGTGTGTTAGGTGGTGATAAGCGCAGTAGAAAAAAATAAAGCAAGGCATGGAGAGTAAGAAGGGCCTTGGGTGATGGCTGGGAGATGCTGGGAGTGATCATTCTGTATAATGGTCAGGGAATGCCTCACATATAAAGTAACATTTGAGGAGAGAATTGATAGAAGTCAGGGAGCAAGCAAAATAAACAACTGCAGTGGAGGTCCCAGGCCAAGGGGGAAAGAGTACAGTACATGTTTGGGGACTATCGGGCCCTTATTTCAGTCTCTGGAACATAGAAGTGCTACCATGTGTTGCTTCTTGACTCTCATTTCCCGCTTTGTACTTTGGTTTCTATTTCAAAGCATACTTGTTGGTTGATTTTAAGACCTCAGCCCTAGCGCTCCAAATCATTAAGTCCTATAACTATATATTATTTCTCAATACTATATTTCTGAGTTTGTAGACAAACATTATGTATTTACTTATTTGATGTATTATTTTTCTATAAAAAAGATATTTGGAGTAGAACGTGCACTCTGAGTTGTTTTCTTGGTCATCAACTTCACCCTCGCCCATTCCCCTTTAGACAAGGTCTCTCATTTCAGTGTCAACTGGAGTTAGATGTGCAGGTAGAACCATCCAGTTAAATGAAAGCTATGTCTCTTTTTAATGATTTCACTTCCTAAGGAGGAGTAAAAGTGATTTTCCATTAGTATCCTACCTTAGTTTATTTAATTGATCCTACCTTTATTTATCTCAAAGTTCATTTCTTTTTTCCTTTCTTGTACTTCATTATATTTATCTTTCTTTATTCCATTTTTTACTCTCTAGTGGCTTGGAAGTGTATCTGTACATGTCCACTACTGGGATAACTGTAAGATCTTGCTCCAAGGGAGAGGGGGCTGCATCTAGGCTGCTACCTGGAACCAGGGTCTGGGTCCGGGTTCAGGTTCTAACACTCACAGAAATGAAGCAGAAAACAGTTGATGCTGGCTGTTCATCGGGTTATCACTTACTGGAAACTATACCCTTGGGGGTGGGAATAAGGGTCAGTGATTTTAGGAGGCACCGTGTACATTGTATTCCATGTATTGGTCCAATGTAAATGAACCTCCTGGAGGGCAAGAAAATCAACAATCAAAAAATGTATTCACTCTAGTCCTGGCCAGGTGGCTCAGCTGGCTGGAGCATCATTCCATACCCCAAAAGGCTGTGGGTTAGATTCCAGGGCAGGGCACATACCTGGGTTGTAGGTTTGATCCCCAGTTGGGGAGCCTATGGGAGGCAGCCAATCGATGCTTCTCTCTCTCACATAGATGTCTCTCTTTTCTCTCTCTCAAATCAATAAATATATCCTCGGGTGAGAATTTTCTGAAAAATGAATTCACTCTGGATAAAATTAAAATAATAGAACCCAAAATGATTTTAAGAACTCAATAAAAGGGCCTTAAATTCCAGACTGGAAAGAGTTGGATAGAATCTGCAATCTGGAAGACAGTACTGAAGCATTCACCCACAATGCAGCACATGAAAATAATAATTTTTAAAAACTATAAAAAATACAGGTAAAGGAGATGAAAGAGAGTTTGAGGCTCCAAAATATATCTGATAGAACTTTCTGAAGAGAAGAAGTAGATGGAGTGGTAGAGAAGCAGTGTTTGAAGAGATATTGGTTGAGAATTTTCCAGATATGGGAAAAAAAATAACAACCCTGTGTCCTTCAATCAGAAGTACCCAAGAGAGGAAATGAAGAAAGTCACACCCAGACTCATGCACTGAAGCTGCAAAAATATCAAAGAGAATCACAAAAGTTAAGAAACTTAAAAACAGAAGTACAACAATTAGGCTGACGTCTACAATAATAAATATCAGAAGACAATGGAGAAATACTTTCAAATTACTTAAGAACAATAGCGAGAAATTTATAATCAGTTAAACTATTTTTCAAGAGTGAGGGTAAGAAAAGATATTTTTAAAAGGCCTGGAAAGATTGATTTACTGCCTACAAAGAATATTTTGTAGGCAGTAAAACTTTATAGCAGATTGAGGAAGTTCATTATATGTATCATAAAATAATATTACTCACCAGTTTTATTAAATATATTTATTTGCATCCTCCCAGACAGATCCACATTTGGTAGAATGCTTCATAATTATTTTTATTTTCATTATTGATCACTTATTTGTGCAGGATTCAGTAAAACTATGTTGTTTTTTCTCATATTTTAGAATGAGGAAGGAGTACGGCGCCTCATCTGGGAAAAGAATCTAAAGTATGTGATGCTTCACAACCTGGAGCATTCAATGGGAATGCATTCATATGATCTAGGCATGAACCACCTGGGAGACATGGTAGGTAAACTATAAATAATCCTACTTTTGTGTCTTGTTAAGCATGATTTGTCTCTCCAAAAGCAATTTGAAAGTAAGTGACAAAGGAAAATTATCTTCAAGTGTACAAAGATAGGATAATGTTGAATTTAAAGATAAGAATTTATGCAGATTCCTTTAGTCTTAGTGTAACCACTTTCCTTAACAAATCTCTTCTTCATTTTAAACTCACAGACTTCTTTTGCTTTTAAGGAAGTATTGCCCAAAGACTACTCACTCACAAACTCTTAGAGTAGTTACCATACTTATGTAAGTTTATTTTTTTTAATTTATTTAATTGTTCAAGTACAGTTTTCTGTCTTTTACTCCCATCCCAGCCCACCTCCCCAGTGCTCCGCACCTCCCTCCCATTTCCACCCCCCTTAGTTTTTGTCCATGTGTCCTCTATACTAGTTCCTGTAAACCCTTCCCCTTTTCCGCTGAAATTCCCTCCCCTCTCCCCTCTGGTCACTGTCAGCCTGTTCTCTATGTAAGTTTAAACTGACAATTTAATATGGTCCACCTGCTTCCTTAATTGTGGAATATGGGCATTTAACATCACAAATAATCTCCCATTAATTTTTAGAATCTGTTCTACCCTGCAAAACTTTACCAAAATTAAAAATCACAGGGGCATTTGAAACCTTGCTCCTAGCATGTTGTCAATGTGACTGAAATAAAATCTTATTTAAAAAAAAAGAACCATAGTGCCCCTTGGAAGGGATTTAATTTTCCACTTAAATGTAGGAATCTCCTTTGTCATTCTTCCTAACAAGGAAAATCAGTTCTGTCTGCTTTTTAGACAGCTCTTCTCTAAAATTATCCCATATACCTATGGAAGTTTCTCACTGCATCTCAGCAATTGAGGTTTGAAGAAGAGGAAGGAACTAGAGCTCAGGGTGGTCTATACATTCTACCAGTAAAATTAGGCTATGCTTTGCTCTGAACAAAATTCTATCTCCATATAACTTCTACTTTTTACAGTTTTCTTCTCCTGCCCAATGTCTAACTGAGATACTAATGCAAAGTGTAAGGGTAAAGAAGAAACCCAGATAATTCAGCCTTGTTGGTCACAACCACAACTACTTTTTCTCAGTTGTTAAATATATTTGCAGTTACAGTTATTGAGATATTGAAAAGCAGAATGTAAGTGAAAGGAGATATATACTTGCCTTGTAGACCAGTGAAGAAGTGACATCTTTGATGAGTTCTCTGAGAGTTCCCAGCCAGTGGCAGAGAAATGTCACTTACAAGTCAAACCCTAATCAGAGATTACCTGATTCTGTGGACTGGAGAGAAAAAGGGTGTGTCACTGAAGTGAAATACCAGGTGAGTATTATCATCCCTGACCTCTGTGCCCCAGGTAGAGTTCTCTCTTCCTTAGAGTTCTTCTCTCACTTAGTCTAGGTACATAATTTGACAGTGAATCTCCCTTATGTTATTTTCTAGTTATTTTTGTTATTCTGTCTTCCCAATGAAATTGTAAGCTCCTTTAAGGCAAGCACTACATATCATTACTTTATTTGTATTCCCCACAATGCTTAGAACACCAATGGTTAGAGCCACATTATACAAAAACTGTGAACTAAGCAAACAGGTCAAGACAAACTTTCAGTGCTCATGCTATCAGTCAGCTTCCCTGGACCCTTTGCCAAGCCAATTGCTTGAGAAACAGTACTGTGTATAAGAGAATATCTAAGAGGAAGTTTCTCACTGCATCTCACTTATGAAATTCAGGTTTGAAGAAGAGGAAGGAACTCGAACTCAGGATGGTCTATATATTGTACCACTCAAATTAATTCACGAGTAGGCTTGCATTGTTAGAATAAGAAATACAGGCTTTAAAATTTTGTTCCTATGTTTTTATATTCATTTAGTGTGCTTCCAAAAAAAAACCAGCTACAAAAATCAGTTAGCAATAAATAAGAGTAATAAGAGTAAGGAGATCATATGCATCTCCTTAGAGGGCTGGGTAAGGAAGGATCAGGGTATTCTGAGCAGCTGGCCCAGCACGTGATCAATGAACAACATGAGAAGGAAGCAGTGAATGGTACTGCTAATCTCTTTTCCACCTAGTGATTTTTCTTTCAACCAGTTTTGGGTTTCTTACTGGAGCTTCTCAAGAATAAAAGTTTGGGGAGAGCTGATAAACTACATATTTAGGTGTTGACTATAAAGAATTAAATGGGTTTCTTTCCCTGGGTGCTTGCATTTTAAAAGGTGATTTTGCTTTAGCCAAAAGCAAATTCAGTTTGCTTCCTCTCAGTAGAGAGCAAGGTGGGATGAGAAGAAAATGAGAACAATTATGAAAGGACTCTGGACCCTTTACACCTTTTGAACTAAAGCAGCTTGGGTTTTTCTGGTTGTAAAATAGCTTTTGATTAAAAAGTTCTGAAGCTAGGACTTCCACAAAGATGGAGGCATAGGTGGAAGCACTGTGCCTCCTCCCACAACCAAGTTTAAAAACAACAAAGTTTTAGCAACAAAAATGCAGCCAAAACCACAGAAAATTGAACTTCATGGAAGTCTAACAATAACGAACCCTTCAGCCAAACCGGTAAGAGGGGCAGAGCCAGCAGCAGAGCGGTCGGGCAGGAAAAACCCACAGACCGACCTGAGTGCGTGACCCAGGCACGCCGGCAGCTGTAGGCGGATCCCAGGTGTGGAGAAGTGGGTGGGCTCACTGAGGGTTGACCACAGTCACACATTTGCACGCAGATAAACCAGTGAAGGAGGGAGCGGTGAGATAGACAATGCAGGCCCCAGTGGCAGGAAGCAGCAGAGGGGACCACCATTGTCCCTCTCTGACCCCGCCCCCACCTACAGTGTCACAAACCAGCAACCTGGGTGGCCCCGCCCTGGTGAACAACTAAGGCTCCGCTCCTCATACCTAACAGGCACAAACAGATCAAAACATGGCTCAAGAAGAACTTAGAGCCCCAGAGCCGATAAATCTAAGCAATGAAGAAATAGCCAAACTTTCAGATGCACAGTTCAAAACACTGGTGATCAGGATGCTCACAGAACTGGTTGATTTTAGTCACAAATTAGAGGAGCATATGAAGGCTAAACTAATTGAAATGAAGGGAAATGCACAGGAAACCAGTAGTAATGGAAAGTAAACTGGGACTCAAATCAAAGGAGTGGACCAGAAAGAAGAAAAAAATGACCAAACAAAAAAGAATGTAGAAACAAGAATTCAAAAAAATGAAGAGAGGCTTAGGAACCTCCAAGACATCGTTAAATGTTCCAACATCAGAATTATAGGGGGCCAGAAGGAGAAGAGGAACAGCCAGGAGTGGAAAACTTATTTGAACAAATAATAAAGGAGAATTTCCCCAATCTGGCAAAGGAAATAGACTTCCAGGAAATCCAGGAAGCTCAGAGAGTCCCAAAGAAGTTGGACCCAAGAAGGAACACACCAAGGCACATCATCATTATATTAGCCAAGATTAAAATGAAGGAGAGAATCCTAGAAACAGCAAGAGATAAGGGGACAGTCACCTACAAAGGAGTTCCCATCAGACTGTCAGCTGATTTATCAAAAGAAACCTTACAGGCAAGAAGGGGATGGAAAGAAGTATTCCAAGCCATGAAGGGCAAGGACCTACATCCAAGATTGCTCTATCCAGCAAAGCTTTCATTTAGAATGGAAGGGCAGATAAAGTGCTTCTCAGATAAGGTCAAGTTCAAGGAGTTCATCATCACCAAGCCCTTATTATATGAAATGTTAAAGGGACTTACCTAAGAAAAAGAAGATAAAAAAGATGAACAGTGAAAGGACAGCAAACTCACAGTTATTAACAACCACACCTAAAACAAAAGCAAACTAAGAGGATAGCTAGATCAGGAGCAGAACCATAGAAATGAAGATCACAGGAAGGGTTAGCAACAGGGGAGTGGGAGAAGGAGAAGGGGGAGAAGGTACAGAAAAGAAGTAGCATAAATGGTAGGTAGAAAATAGATAGGGGGAGGGCAAGAATAGTAGGGGAAATATAGAACCTAAAGAACTTGAGACATATGGTCATAAACTAAAGGGGGGAATGGTGGGGGATGAGGTGTGCAGGGTGGAGGGGAATGAAGGGGGGGAATAGAACAACTGTAATGGCATAATCAATAAAATATATATTTTTTTAACAAGTTCTGAAGCTAAAAGAAATTGTAACTTTATATTTTAGATATCATTTGGCAGGAGGAAGCGTACTTTAGGTCAAGGGAATCACCCAAGCTCTTCTCAAAACCATTTTACTGTAGGCATCTACTTCCTTTACTCATGGGTGAGGAGAGCTGGGATTTAGTACATGCTTAACTACTGTTTCTTAATGCACTTGAATATGGCAGTTATGCTCTGAACTCAGCCATTTGCAAATCTTTATCAGGGTTGGAACTTGCCCAGAGGATAAGCAAGTATTTAGTTTTCATTCCCATTGTCTAAGACAGCATTTTCAATCTTTTTCATCTCATGGCACACATAAACTAATTACTAAAATTCTGCAGCACACCAAAAAATATACTGTATTTTTGCCAATCTGACAAAACAATAGGTATAATTTTGATTCATTTATATCAGATAGCTATTAATGTGTTGGCTGTCATCATTTTTTATTTAACAATCTAAGGGGGAAGAGGTCAGTGCCCCTGACTAAATAGTCAGGTATCGCAAGTTTTAAAAATTCTTGCAGCACACTGGTTGAAAATCGCTGGTCTAAGAGCAGAGGAAACTGCAGTGGTGGGAGCTCTCCCAGTAAGTCCTGAAAGGGCTGACGTGTTGGGTATCACCCACTTTGTGTTATGAAGTCATCCTTACTGACTTCCTGCAATTGCCTTTGTGACTTTGTTTCTGTTTTAGGGTTCTTGTGGTTCTTGTTGGGCTTTCAGTGCTGTGGGGGCCCTGGAAGCACAGGTGAAGCTAAAGACAGGAAAGCTGGTTTCTCTGAGTGCACAGAACCTGGTGGATTGCTCAAGTGGAAAATATAGAAATGAGGGCTGCAATGGCGGATTCATGACAGAGGCCTTCCAATACATCATCGACAATGGCATCGAATCAGAAGCTTCCTATCCCTACAAAGCCGTGGTAGGTCACAAATGATCTTATGTCCCTTGACTGACTGTACTAAACTCACCACCAAGACAATAACTTGAGAAACAGTGTCATGTGTGTGAGAAGCCCGTTCAGGAATTCTAAATTCTCAAGCATTCTCTTTCTTATGCAGTAGCCCTCTTAATTTATCGGTGGCACGTTGGGTTTAAACAAGCAAATAGAATTCATGCTTAAAAATAGATTAAAACTTCAGCAAACTTTTCTTAAAACGCTTTCTATCTATCTGCCTGGTATTTAAACTTTTTGTCATATGGTCTCCCTTGCTCTTATTCTCAGATTATCAACCACATCTTTCTTCTACCTACTAAAAAGCTAAGTAATGCTTTCTTCCTCCTCCTTGCAAGTTGATTATATATTTTATTCAATAATGTATTCAATATATTCATTATTGAATATATTCATTATATTGAATATATGATATTCAATATACTGATTGAATATCATATATTCGATATGCTGAATATAATATGTTCAATATAATAATATATTAATTATATTCAATGAATGAATATATTCATTATATTGAATATCATATATTCATTATATAATATAGTCTGATTATCGACTATATTCAATATAATACATTTGATATATTCAATATAATATTCATTATAGAATATATTCGTTATTGAATATATTCATTAATATCAAATATAATATATTGAATATTTCATTAATATCGAATATATTGAATATATAGAATATATTATTTAATAATATATTCAGTAATACACTTTATTCAATACTAAGTAATATATCCATATTACAGAGAATTTAGAAAAGATTTTAAAAATCACTCAAAAACCTCCTACCTTATCCTCTATTATTTTGGTTTATTTCTTTCAAGTTCTTTTCCTATAAAGAACAAACATGAATTGGTAACCCCCCTTCCACATAAAATATACTCTAAGTGTTTTCCATATTACATGGTCTTTATAAACCATCATTCAACTGCAACTCATCTTGCATGCATTATATCACCAAAAAGATTTTAAAGCACTAGTCTAGAGTTTATAATCTTTATGCAATACATCTCTACAACCCACAGAGTTTGAGGGGGCATTATCCTGGCCAACTTATGCATGCATGAAGATGTCCACAATTTATAACAATAGGTAGTCCTGTATTTCCTCTGCTATTAATGAAACATGGAACTGTTAGGCTTTGGAAGATTTGATGTTTCTTTCTTCAAAAACAGGAAGGTGCCTTAAACACTTGAAAAGGCTAAATGAGGAAAGAAAACATATCTGAAATCCAAACTTAGTATACTGGTGATTTATAAAGGAAGTTGAAGTATACTTCTTTATCTGATTTTTACTTTTTTTTTTTGCAGGAAGGAAAATGCCAGTATGACTCAAAATATCGAGCTGCCACATGTTCAAGGTATACTATACTTCCTGAAGGCAGCGAAGATGCCTTGAAAGAAGCTGTGGCCAATAAAGGACCGGTGTCTGTTGCTATAGATGCAAGCCATCCTTCTTTCTTCCTCTACAGAAGTGGTAAAAACTCAGATATAGTATCCTCTTGTTATATGCTGCCCTTGCACTACAAGAAAGAATATTATCCTTCCCCATCCCTCCACCTCTGAGTGTTTTTAGTAGGATAAACAGACTCCTTCATTTCATACATGCTTTTTATACCCAGTTCTAATTAGTAAAGTAATACCCAAATTTACTAACGCCATATTCCAAGTACTATGATGAGTTCTTCTGTGCATTATCTCATTTATTCCCCACAATAACCCCATTTTACAAATGAAAAAATGATGTGTTACACAAATTAACTTACCTAAAATCACACAGCCTGAAAAGAGGTCAGCTGAAATTAGCAAATGAGCTGCATGGCCCCAGGGCCCTGCAGCTAACCACTGCGGCCACTGTGCCCTGCAGGGGCAGCGCAGCTGTGCACAAGAGGGCACCTGCGATTGGGCGGCACGGTATCAGACCAAGTAGACGGCTATAATATTTTTCCTAAACCTCACCTTAAAAGTCATTTAATCTAGTAAAGGAGGAAAATGTATGAAAGAAACAATTTAGGCATATATACAAAGAAATACAGTAGGCTCTGCCTGGCTAGCTCAGTTGGTTAGAGTGCTGTCCTGATACACCAAGGTTGCAGGTTTGATCCCTGGTCAGGACACAGCCAATGAATAAGTGAAATAGCAGGTTGATATCTCCTTCTCTCTTTCTCACCCTTCCCTTCTCTCTACAATCAATTTTTGAAAATACGGTAACTGTATATAAGTTAAAAAATAATTAGAAAAGGGTGGCAGTTTATCAAAGAAAATTTGTGATGAAACTGTGATTAAATTATGACAAACCTGGCAAGAAAACTGACAAGTATAACATGGACAGGAAAGAATTATGAAATCTAAATAGTTAAAAATTGCTAGTTAACCTAGCCTCACATGCAAAACAGTCTAATAAAAAGTAATAGCATTTTCAAACGTCCTTCATTGTCACATACCACTCCCTCTTTTGTCTCCCGTATTTTCTCCCCAGGTGTCTACTATGACTCAGCCTGCACTCTGCATGTGAATCATGGTGTATTAGCGGTCGGCTACGGCAACCTTAATGGGAAAGACTACTGGCTTGTGAAAAACAGGTAATGTATTTGTGCTTTGACGTCTATTTCATTAAAATCAGGAATTAGAAGGAGGCTTAACGAATGCTTTCTTGTGATGATGATGATGATGGTGACACTGACATCTTATAATTTCTTCACTTCCTATTATGCCTTCGGCTCTTTGTTTTCATGATTGATCTTCTACAGTACTTTTCTGATCATTCCTTTTTGATCTCCTTTCTGAATACCTACTCCTCTGATTAGGTTGCAAATATTCGTCTTTCCTCCGGGGCTCCATCCATTGCCCATGACTCTTCTTATTCTACAAAGGTATCACCCTTCCATTCTTAGGATTTTTGCTACATACTATATACTTTCAAACCTCTAGCTCTAGCTCTGACTTCTGCCCTGAACTTCAGACTTATTTATCTGGACATATCTACTTACATGTATCTTAGTTTCTCCAAACTCACTATGTGTGGGGGCAACCTTGCCTACAAAGTTTATCGTCATCATCACCCACCCCCACCCCCACTGTCTGGCACGGATGAAAGTGAAACTACCAAGACATGATCTGCTTGGGGAGGAAAGTCTCTCAAAGGACAAGGGCCAAGAGCCCCTTCCTTAGGGGCTTTTATTAGGTTCGTTTTGTACAAGAATACAGGTAAGGATCAAACAATAGGTAGCATTCAAAGAACTATGAGGGCTTATTCTCAGTCAGGGTCAGATAGCTAAAGAGCCATAAAACTTTGAAGAACAAACTTCTTGCTTGGACCCTTATCATTTAAATGAGAGCATTCTAAACAAAGTAGGTTTCACGGGGTTTTACATATTCTTTCTTAGGCCTGATCACCCCAGATCCTGCTCTATCCGGCAAAGGGCTGCACCGCCTTCCCCATCATAGGTTTTTAGGCTTAAGTGGATTAGAGTCGGGAAGCACTTCTCCCAGATGGAAATGGGGACTCCGGCTGTCAGAATGGGGGGTGGCGAGAGTCCATCACTACCTCTTTGTTGCAGCCCCCTAAGTCCTTCCATGATGGCCTCCTAAGTGATTGTGTCTGGCTCAGGTTGCCCCGCCTCTGAGGGATCTTACCCATCATAGACTAACCGACCAAGCATTGGGGGCAGGGGATGAAGCAGAAACAGCATTGCTGCCAGAGACAAGCTTTGTCTCTTGAGTGGCTCACATTCCGGAGGTCGCTCGCTCATCCTTAGCCATAGGGGGCAGTTACAACTCCTGAAACCAGGCAGAGCGGTTCCCAAGAAGTATGTACCCTCTTCACCATATTATCCTTCCCCAGGACGTCCCATTTCACTAAATGACAACACCACACAACACAGTCACCCAATTAGATGCTATGGATTTGTCTTAGACCCTTCCAAATCCAACCAAGTAACAAGTCAAATTAGTTGTACCTCATATCTGTCCCTCCTGTTCCTTCTCCTTTTCTTCTATTACTGCTCTAGTTCAGACATCTCTTGTCTGGACTATCCTGTAGCCTTCTAATTGGTCTTTAATCTCAAATCTACCCTTCACACTATTTCCAAACCAGTTTGTCTAAAATATGAGTCTGGGCTTATAGCTCTTCCACTTTGTACCATTGCAGTGTAAAATTAATGTTCTCTTAGAGAAAAGACAAGTTGTCTACGCTGTAGTCCCCACCTGCCTCCCCAGCCTCACTCCTGACGCTTGTCGTCTCACACTTATGCTAGTTATACTGAACTATACACAGCTATATAACTTTATCTTTAATATTTTCATGTCTTGGTTCATGTCTTGGTTCCTCAGCCTGGAACATCCTTTCTCCTACTCAGTTTATTTCTCTTTTCCTTCAAAACCAGCTCAGGCATTATCTATACCAGAAAGTTCTCCCTAAAATCCTTAAACTGGATGAAATGTCTTTTTTTTTTCACATGCTCCCAGAATGTTCTGTGTATACTGGAGTACAGTTCTGAAAGCAAGAATTTGTTCTTAGATATTTCTTTAGCTTAAGATTTTTTAAACCACTTGAATTCTTTAAAGGAGGATTAGCAAGCAGTATTTGGTCAACAAGACGCCTTGGATTTTCTATAAAGTGTGGGGCAGTTGACCTTGGTCGATAAAGCTGGGAAAAATAAGTTGTGCAAATATTAAATGGATCTGGGGCTCCAATCTCTCACTGACTGAATTCATACTAGCAGTAATGACAGCCTCAATTCAACTTTCATTACCAGAACTTAGGTCCAAACTCAGTGCACCCAAAATTTTTTTACCTATCTTTAAAACAGTAAATAACTATATAGTAAGAGATAGAGAAATATTAATCACACAAGATTCCGGATGTTGTGGTCTGAATTTCATTCCTCATCCTACCTCACTCACAGGAATGAGGCAGGGATGGACATAGCATAGAAGTTAGAGTGGGCTTTGAAATAAAACAATTCTAGATTGGAACCCTGGCTTTCCAATGAACCATCTGTGTGACTTTGGGCAGGACATTTTACCACTCTCTCCATTTTTCTATTTTGTAAAAAGGAGATTATACCTCACATGATGATGATTAAATAAGATAATATATGTTAAGCTACTTAGCTCAGAGTATGCACTAAATAAATTGTGGCTATTAATGGTGATAATAGCTTAGCCGGAATTTCTTATCATTGTTTTTGCTTATTGAAGCAGACACTAAAAGAGGACTGCGTCTGTTGATAAAAGGGGACAGTGCAGTTTGAATTTTATTCCAGAGGGGAGCGGCAATAATCAAAGGGATTTTAAAAAAGGAGCCTATGATAGAGTTTTAGAAGGAGTGACCAGAGAGAAAAGAGAAAGTCAGGACACACTAGTATCGTAAAGCCGAGAGAGGTGAGGTGAAAGGAGACAACCATTTTAAGTAATACAAGACAGATAAAAATAAAACCTGAAAAGTATCTAGTGAATGGCTCATTAAAAGAATATTTAAGGTCAATTACGGCATAGCTTTTAAAATCTTTTCTTAAAGATTTTATTTCTTTATTTTTGGAGGGAGAAAGAGTAAAACACAATTGCAACCCCGGCATGTGCCCTGACCAGGAACTGAATTGGTGACCTTTCAGTTCCACAGACAATGCACAACCCACTGAGCAACACCAGTCATGACAGAGCACAGCTGTTTTAAATTATGCTACTTATATTCTTGCAACAAACTAGCATTTCTTAGTTCCTTCACTGCATACAAAAACGACCCTCCTTTGAGTCCTGAGCAAAAAATTGCAACGGCTTCCCTTTGCCTCTGAAATTAAATGAGAAATTCCCCAGTCTGCTTTTGGACCCAAACCACCTTTCTATCCTCTTTTCCCACTACTCCCTTGAAGACATCCAATTTCCCTTTCAACCAGATTTCTTGTTGCTCTCCAAATACAAAACCAAAAAGCTTACTCTCAGTTTCACGCTTTTATTTTTATCATAGTTATAGCACTCAATGAATTCTACCTCATAATATAACTAATTATATACTGACAATTAAATCTCAGAACCATAAAGAACTTTAGCAATAATTTCTCTTACAAGAATTGTGTACATTTTTTCTTTCGTCTGTGGCAAAGTAAAAAAAAGTATTGGCAAATCTTTTATAAACCTAAATTTACTTGACTCAAAGAACTATCCTTAAATAGAAATTACGTCCTTTTAAGTTTTGTTTTTGGGGTTAAAATGTCCTTTTGTTTACAACATGATGGTGATATTCAGGAGTATGATTTTTTTATGCCTGTGCTTGCTAATTTAAATGTTGATAATTTTATGTCAATTTGCAATTTTGTTTTTTGAAATTCTCAAAGTCCAGGAAACCAAAAGGTGAGAGAACCACTGATCCCTTTTAACCTTTTTCCAACCCGTGAATTCCCTTTCCAACATCTCTGACAAGTTATGCAAATCTCTGGTTGAACACTTCCAGTGCCAATGAGCTTATCTCCTCATCAGGTAGCATATTCGATTTACTGACAGATATAACTGAGAAAGTTTTATCTCAGCTCCCTTTTTAGGTCAAAAGCTGTTTGAGAGCTGCATTTTTTATTGCTTACTTTGGAATTCCCTGACCTATGCCTTTTCCATAGTAGTTGATCAAAAATATTTCCTAATTGATATTCTCTATAGGAATTTATGTTTGATAGAAAATCATCACCTATGATCCTATTATACAAAAACATTTAGAGGTGGGTCATTGGAAAGGTTAATAATACTTTTTCTCTGCATAAGGGCATATTTACAAAGTAGGGAGATTAATGGTTTGGAGTACATATTATATCATTTTTTTCTTTACATATTAAGTCTATTTATCAATACTGTATAGCACTAAAATCCTGCCAAGCTTCCTTTGAAAATTACCTAAAAACCCTGAGGAAATTATTATATTATTTTGTTCTAATTTTGTTTCACAGGTTTTTATAAAAACAATACGATAAAAATTGATAATGTGGTATTCATTTGTAATTTTGTGTTACTCGTTTTTCTAAAGCTGGGGCCTCAACTTTGGTGATCAAGGATATATCCGGATGGCCAGAAATAGCGGAAATCATTGTGGGATTGCTAGTTATGCCTCTTATCCAGAAATCTAAAGGATCTCTTCGTTCTTCAAGTCAAGAAAGATGAAACACTTTCTTTTCACTTAATTTTATTTGCTGTGTTCAGTAGAAATAAGTGTCATAATCAATGTCTATTTATTGCATTAACAGAATATATAGTTTGACTCTTCTACTTTTTTAACTTTGCAGATCTTGAAAAAAATTGCTAAGTAAAAATTAACAATGCACTGTAGTTATAACTGTATGAGAATTTGTCAACTTAATATAATTTGTCATTGTCTCTTTGTCTTTTTATGTCCCCTGATATGCTTTTGTAACTCGATGGCATATAAGTACTTAATAAATATCTGTATTTTCAACTTTGTATTATTACCACATACCATCCCTTTCTTATTCTTAGGTAATATAACCTATCATGAAAATATAAATTGTGGTATGCTAGTAATGGGCTATGGCAACTTTAATGGAAAAAAACTATTAAGTTAAAAATATGGCTCAGATTTTATCTTTGCACATAAAAGTATCCAATAATTTTTTAAATTATTGACAGCTCTGTATTTTTTAAAGGTTTTATTTATTTATTTTTAGAGAGAGGGGAATGGCGGAAGAAAGAGAGGGAGAGAAACATCAATGTGTGGCTGCCTTTCATGTGCCCCCTACTGGGGACCTGGACCACAACCCAGGCATGTGCCCTGACTGAGAATTGAACTGGCAACCCTTTGCTTCGCAGGCCAGCGCTCAATACATCGGAGTGCTGTATTGCTGAGCCACACCAGCCAAGGCTTCAATAAATTTTTTAAATGAGTGAAATTAAAGTAGACAAATGCTTAAGTGACAACCTGTTTTCACATACTTCATAAAAATTATTATAATGGCCAAAAATTAATATAATAATTTAATTACTTTTGCCTAGTCATTAGCAATTTGGCCAGCACCTTTTCAGAGGTAATTAATTAAATCAACCAGAATAAAATAACCAAAATTTGCATTTCTTTTAATATTTAATATTCCATTACTCCTTTTTATCCAATTCATATTGATCTTTTGCACAAGGCTATAGATTTGTAGATGGGTTTTGAAAAGGCAGCAAGAACTTTAAGTTTTTTAAGTTCATGACTATGACATAAAATGTGTGTGGGTTGATGTCATTAGTAGATCTTAAACTGAACTTAAACTAATTTCACTATCTCTTATTCCCTCTGCATAAAGTACCTTTTAAAAAACAAGAATTGCTAACTATAAAAACATGGTTATAATATGTGACTACATCATATATAGAGAAACATTATAATTAAAAAGTATCTAATTGATAATTCTTTAATTTTTATTTTGCTCACAATTTTTCAAGCAATGTAAATGGAACAGAAATATGGGTCCTTTATCTTTGTCAGTCCGATAAAGCCTATGGACCACTTCTCAGCATAATGTTTTCAAGTGCATAAAATAGAATACATAGACTTTCCAAAGAAGCTGACTATATTGAAATACAGTTATTAAAATGTTAAAATACATCCTATTCCCAAAACCAGATAAAGACACAACAAAGTAAGAAAACTTCAGGCCAATATTGCTGATGAACATAGATGCTAAAATCCTCAACAAAATATTGGCCACATCCAACAATATATTAAAAAGATCATACACCATGACCAAGCAGCATTCATCCCAGGGATGCAAGGATGGTTCAACATTCGCAAATCAGGAAATGTAATATATCACATAAACAAAAGCAAAGACAAAAAACACATGATCATATCAACAGATGCAGAAAAAGCATTTGATAAGATACAGCACCCATTTATGATAAAAAACACTCAGCAAAGTGGGAATAGAGGGAGCATTCCTCAACATAATAAAGGCCATATAGGAGAGACCTACAGCCAACATCATACTTAATGGGCAAAAACTAACAGCTTTTCCACTATGATCAGGAACAAAACAAGGTTGTTCACTTTCACCACTTCTCTTCAATATAGTGTTGGAAGTCTTAGCCACAGCAATCAGACAAGAAAAGGAAATAAAAGGCATCCAAATCAGAAAGGAGGAAACAAAACTGTCATTGTTTGCAGATAACATGACAGTGTACATAGAAAATCCTATAGATTCCATCGCAAAACTGCTCTACCTAATAAATGAATTTGGCAAAACAGCAGGATACAAAGTCAATATCCAGAAATCAAAGGCATTTTTGTATACCAACAATGAAACAGCAGAAGCAGAAATCAAGAAAAATATCTCATTCAATATAGCAAAGAGAAAAATAAAATATCTAGGAATAAACCTAACCAAGGAGGTAAAAGACCTGTATGCAGAAAACTACACAACACTAAAGAAAGAAATCAAGGAAGACACAAACAAATGGAAACATATACCGTGTTCATGGATCAGAATAATTTGTATGTCCATAGTACCCAAAGCAATTTACAGATTCAATGCAATATCTACTAAAGTACCAATGGCATACTTCACAAACATAGAACAAACACTTCAAAAATTTATATGGAACCATAAACGACCCTGAATAGCTGCTGCCATTTTGAGAAAAAAAGAGCAAAGTAGGAGGGATCACAATACCTGATACCAGACTGTATTACAAGGCCACTGTAATCAAAACAGCCTGGTACTGGCATAAAAACAGACACATGGACCAGTGGAACAGAACAGAGAACCCAGAAATAAACCCAAGTTTCTATGGTCAATTAATATTTGACAAAGGGGGCAGCAACATAAAATGAAGTACAAATAGCCTTTCAAAAAGTGGTGTTGGGAGAACTGGACAGCTACATGCAAAAAAAATGAAACTCAAGCACCAACTTACATCATACACAAGAATAAATCAAAGTGAATAAAAGACTCAAGTATAAGCTGTAACACCATTAAAGTCTTAGAACATAGGCAGGGAAATCTCAGATATTTCACGCAGCAACATTTTTACTGATATGTCCCCTAGAGCAAGGGACATCTCAGTAAAAAAGAATAAACAAATAGGATCTTATCAAAATAAAAAGCTTCTGCATGGCTAAAGAAAACAGTATTAAAATAAAAAGAGAACCAACTGTATGGGTAAACAAATATGTTTATATTGTCACCAATCCCAATGATTCCTCAGACAAGGGTTTAATCTCCAAAATATACAAAGAATTTACATGACTCCACTCTAAGAAGACAAGTGACCCAATTAAAAAATGGGCAAAGGACTTGAACAGACACTTCTCCAAGGAGGACATACAGAGGATACAGAGACACATGAAAAGATGCTCAATATTGCTAGCTATCAGAGAGATGCAAATTAAAACCACAATGACATACCACTTCACACCAGTCAGAATGGCCATAATAAACACAGCAACAAACAACAAGTGTTGGAGAGGTTGTGGAGAAAAGGGAACCCTAGTGCACTGTTGGTGGGATTGTAGACTGGTACAACCACTATGGAAAACACTATGGAATTTTCTCAGAAAACTAAAAATGGATCTGCCTTTTGACCCAGCAATTCCACTGCTAGGACTATACCCTAAGAATACTGAAACACCAGGTCAAAAGAACCTATGCACCCCAATGTTCATAGCAACACAATTTACAATAGCCAAGAGCTGGAAGCAACCTAGGTGCCCATCAGTAAATGAATGGATCAAAAAACTATGGAACATTTACACAATAGAATTCTATGTAGCAGAGAGAAAGAAGGAGCTCCTACCCTTTGCAACAGCATGGATGGAACTGGAAAGCATTATGCTAAGCAAAATAAGCCAGGTGGTAAAAGACAAACACCATATGATCTCACCTTTAATGGGAACCTAAAAAACAAAACAAACAAACAAGCAAAATATAACCAAAGACACTGAAATAGAGAACAGGCTGACAGTGTCCAGAGGGAGAGGGGAGGGAATTTCATGGGAAAAGGGGAAGGGTTTACAGGAACAAGTATGAAAGACACATGAACACAAACTAGAGGGGGTAAAATGGGAGGAAGGCCAGGAAGGCTGGGTGGATGTACTGGGATGGGAATAAAAGACAGAAAACTGTACTTGAAGAACAATTTAAACAAATTTTTAATGTTAGAATATAAATTTGTGCTATAGTAGTATACTGACATGCTGACACTTCTGGCCAAGATGGAGGCGTAGGTAGACACACTGTGCCTCCTCGCACAACCAAAAGAAGGACAACAACAATTTGAAAACAAAAAACAAACAGAACTGACAGAAAATTGAATTGTATGGAAGTCCGACATCCAAGGACTTAAAGAAGACACGTTTTCCAGACAGGTAAGAGAGGCAGAGACAGGCAGTGGGGTAGAGAGGACTCCCCGCAAAGCAGAGTTGGCAGAGTGTGGAGCAGGGCACGCAAGGCTGCAGCTGGCCAGCAAGGCAGTAGCAGGCAGACCAGCAAGGTAGCAGATTGCAGACTGGGTGGTCCCACATTCATGAGCAGATAAATTGGGAAAAACAACTGGGGAACAAGACAGACCATGCAACCTAGGGTCCCAGATTGGGGAAATAAAGCCTCAAACCACTGATTGAAAACAACTGTGAGGGTTGAGGCAGCAGCAGGAGAAACTCCCAGCCTCACAAGAGAATTTGTTGGGGAGACCCACAGGATCCTAGAACATACACAAGCCCACCCACGTGGGAATTCACACCAGAAGGGCCAATTTTGCTGGTGGGAAGTGGGGAAAGTGACTGAAATCCGGCAGAGAGAGGAGCAAGCGCTATTGTTTCCTCTCGGACCATCCTCCCCACATATAATGTCACAATCCAGCGACAAGGGTTGCCCTGCCCTGGTGAACACTAAGACTCCACTCCTCACCACATAACAGGTACATCAAGACAAAACAATGGCCCAAAAGAAATAACAGATCAAAGTTCTAGAAAAAAATACAACTAAGCAATGAAGAGACAGCCAACCTATTGGATGCACAGTTCAAAACACTGATAATCAGGATACTCATAGAATTGGTTGAATTTGGTCACAAATTAAATGAAAAAATGGAGGCTACACTAAGTGAAATGAAGCAAAATGCATGGGGAACCAATAGTGATGGGAAGGAAACTGGTACTCAAATCAACAGTGTGAACCAAAAGGAAGAAGAAACATCAAACCAGAAAAGAATGAGGAAACAAGAATTCAAAAATATGAGGAGAGGCTTAGGAACCTCCAGGACATCTTTAAACGTTCCAACCTCCGAATTATAGGGGTACCAAAAGGAGAAGAGGAAGAGCAACAAGTAGAAAAGTTATTTGAACAAGTAATAAAGGAGAACTTCCCCAATCTGGCAAAGGCAATAGAATTCTAGGAAGTCCATGAAGTCAGAGAGTCCTAAAGAAGTTGGACCCAAGAAGAAACGCATCAAGGCACATCATA